CTTAATTAAGGTGGCAAAGCAAAACGGCAACATTCGCTGGTGGCGTACTAGTAGCTTCAGTCCCGTCAGAATTATATCTTCAGCAAAAACACATAAGAGGCGACTAACGGGATCCGGTGGTGAAGCAAACGGACATGGTTAATATGTGTTATTCTAAGTGTGAAGATCGATGCTCATTATGTCAATCACTGGACCGTTTGATCCGGGCTCAGTTACTTAACTCTTTCAACACCAGTCAACCAGAGGCATTTACTTCCATGACACCGAGTTCCCAGAGCCTCTGAGGTCATAGATGAAGCCTATGTTTATGAAGGAAAATATCAGCTTGCAAAACATTATTGCTACTACATATCATACACATTTGAAAGGTCTAATCCTACTGTTTATAAATATGAAATTTATTTTTATCATATTATTCAAATAATACAACTACAACGTAAATAAGTTAATATTTAATGAAAATGCAAGCTTACACATTTATAGTGTCCAGTTAAACCACGAAGGGGGCAAACAATGTGGCGATTTTTTCCATTTGTAACATGTTATAATATCCCCTTACCTTTTTCTTTTATATTTTCATTTTTACCTAATCGGAAAATTATTATGAAAAGATTTCTCAAATAATATGTATGGTGTCTATTTCCCGATACCAGTGGCTTTCTGCTCGGTAACGTGATACAACAGTGGGAAATACCTCGGTTTTGTAAGATTCGTACGAATAACATGTGACGCAATTCGTTTGATGACGGGTATCGAAAGCTCTGAACATCAACAATATCACTGCACCCTTGCCAAGAGTGTTTTCGCAGTTGTAAGAAGCGATTTTACAGGATAAATATTGGTCTCTAATGACGCTTTTCTGCCACCGTCTGCTATGAGGGTCGTGATTGGTCAAAATCAGGCACGTGACCTAAGGCAGCCAATCATAAGACAGCAATGGATACCGTCCTCGTAAACGAGAACTTTTAGATTCAGACGGAAGTTTTGGGCAAAATCATGCTATTCCGAACGTGTTACGTATATTATGGAACTTAGTGGTCATATCGTGCTAGGTTATGACCTGTGACAGAAAGGCTTCATGCATATATTTTAGCATTAAACATCGTGTCCGAGTGCTAAGTTCGAGGCGATGAAAGCCGAGATGTCACTTGAATTACATTACACGATCGCACAATAAAGATGGAAAAAGTAAGTTGTAATGTACGTTTGACAACTTTTACGAGTACTGTTGTTGATTCTATTCTTTCTTTTATTCAATTTGTTTAATTATTATCTCGAAACATCGTTACTTTGCTCTTTGACAACTTTGACGTGGACCCGTTGTTCGAGAATTGTATTTTTCAATAACATTGCGAAAAATAGTTTATAATTCTAATGCTGTCGATAATATATGGTCATTTGAAATGAAATAAGTGTTTTCAGACATTGCTAAAAGTGACAGATTCAATAAATGAATCATACGTTAGTAATATCATTTTGATGATACGGTGTGTGGGGACTCACTTGGCCGGTTTTCCTGGCTACGGGTTTAGACTCGTGACGTCTTGGCCGGGCCTACGGTGTGGGGACTCGTGACGTCTTGGCCGGTTTTCCTGCCTACGGTGTGTGGGGACTCGTGACGTCTTGGCCGGTTTTCCTGCCTACGGTGTTAAATGGGTTAAAGGAAACCGTCATATAGACGGAATATTGCTGAGTGTGGCGTTAAACAACAAACAATATAGAATATGTAAGCAACAAATGTAGATCACAACTCAAGCATTCTAAAATTCCATATATGTCCCTGAAACGTCCTGGCCCGTGAAGATCTGGGTTAGAATTGGTCTTCAGCAACCCATGCTTGTCGTAAAAGGCGACTAACGGGATTGGGTGACTTTCTTAACACATGTCATCGTATCCCAATTGCGTAGAATGATGTTGATCACTGGATGGTTTGGTCCAGACTCGAGTATTTACAGACCACCGCCGTATAGCTGGAATATTGCTGAGTGTGGCGTAAAACTAGACTCACTCACTGAAACGTCCTAAAGGCCAAAATACAGAATGTAGAATATATATTGAATATAGTTTGGGAAATCAGCCCGCTCAGGAGAGGCACACCGTTACACCGTGTACCAACACACACAACACCGGAGTAAATATACCACAAGTTTATTTGTCAACACATAGAGTGAATATCGTCCATATTTATATATATTCCAGCTTCTTATGATAACCCATTTGTCTGGTTAAAATGGCGATAAGGTTGCTACTGTAAACTTTAGTTACTGTATCTCGACGAAGATATTAATGACAATGGCGTGTCCGGATGAAGTATAATGTGAATTATTTATCTGCTCTGGTTATATGTCGCCGTTCTTACACGAAGTACATGCGATTTGATGTGATCTGGTTTGATAAACGTAGCCATAATACAGTTAAATTAATTGTTCCTTAAAGTGACTATTTCACACCGTACTTCTCTAAAAATAAATAATGCATTTCTCTCAATAATACTAACTATCAGCCCTCAGGGAAGCTACCATATAGTTTATTCCAAAACAATACGTGTTTAGATTACAATAATAAATTGCAACGTTGCTGTAAGTCGACTGTCGCCCTTTCTACCTGCCGAAAATGATCTCAAGCGAATCCCATAGAGTTATGTCCCTTGGAGTGCTCCTTACGCATATCCTGCGCACAACTTGTGATTTAAACCACTTCGGCAAACACCGACAGCACCGCGTGCGACAGTTTTCGATGTACGGAGCAATTATTTATTTACCATATATGGCAAGTGTTCTCTGTTTGCAAGCTGTTCGCCTGGAAGTTTCAATTATCGATTTCAGGCAAGTCGTAAGGGATAATAAGTGTTGTGTTGCATCAATAGGAAGCCAAAGTGAGTGCATATGCCCTAATATAGAAATTATAGGCCAAAATATTGTCGAATATGTGTGACATTGTTCCTTTAAATGTAGCTAATCGGCACACTAAGAGATACTGTGCCTTAAATCCGTGCCTTACCAGCTCAATAGGACGCAATGGTCACTGATTATGTCCAGTGGTCGTTATCAATTTGACCTTTGGCAGGTTTAAGATAGTGGGACATGGTCCGTTAGTTTGTAATATTCATAATTTCAATGGCAAGTGACGTGATAAAATAGTATGAAAACTTTGTCCGTGATCTACATGTTAGTATAATTATACACATGTAACTTCCCGCAAATCCTATTACAGCACTTAAGCACAAGAATAGATAATACCATGTAACATATTGCCCTGACATTTTAGGGAACAGGAACTCATCCGTGTTTGACATATCTTCCTATGTACGACAAGGATGCATGCTTAGTCCTGCACTGTTTATCTTATTCATAAATGTACTAAGGAACTCAAACAGTTAGGATTACGAGGTATACATGTAACAGAAAGTATTGAAGAAATCATCATGTTAATGTTCGCTGATGATATGTCATTGATTCACTCAAGTGTCGTTGGGTTACAGAGAAAACTTGATGCCCTTGATAGCTATTGTAGAAAATGAGGACTTGAAGTCAAATATTATTTTGTTCAGAAATGGTGGCTACCTGAAATCAACTGAAAAATGGTATTATAGGGGATCTGAAAGGCAGATAGTAACTTATTTTAAATATCATGGAATTATGTTTTCATAAAGACTATGTTGGTCTAAATTTAAGCCTGTGAAACATTAGCTCTGCAAGCTAGTAAAGTCCTTTGCCCACTACAGCAACTTTTGAGAAAATATCCAGCTATTCAGTTTAATAGTGTAACAAAGATTTTTGCAAAGTTTTGCAAAAGTTTCCAATTTTGTTGTATGGGTCCGAAATTTGGGGCTTCATGCCAAAGGAGGTAATAGAAAAAGTACAGTGACATTTCTTTAAGAGATATATAGGTGTCAGGTGTCTCAACAAATGCCATTCTCGGTGAGACAGGCAGATACCCACTTTGTATCAGATATTTTACTCGCTGTATCAAGTACCGGTGTCGATTGATATGTTTGGAATCTTGTAGATACCCTAAGGCATGCTATGAAATGCTTAAGGTCTATGATGATAATGGAAAAATAGATTGGGTGTCAAGGGTTAGATTATTCCTATTTTACACTGGTGTTTCATATGTCTAGATCTCCCAGGACTGTGGGCATGTTGACGTATTAACAGTTCACCGTTGTAAAGATATCAAGTTCCAGGATTGGCATTATAAGATTAACAATTCACTTTACCTCATCGTTAACTCCAGAAATGTACACATCCTCACTCTGCTTGCAAAAAAGATTTGAGAAGACTGTTATGTAAGTTTCGTTGTCTTTCACATAAGTTGAATATTCAGCAGTATCGGTTTGATAACAATGTTGATAGAAATGAATTAGTCTGCTCCAAGTGTCAGTTACAGCAAATTGAAAATGAGGATAATTTTCTGCTTATTTGTCCTGATTATGCAGAAAGTCGTCAGAAGATTATTCCATCTTATTACCAGGTAGACCCATCACTCGTCAAGTATTATCAATTGTTATCATCAACTAATGAGGAGCATATACTATCCTTACGTATTTATCTGAAAAGACTGACTGAGTTCGGTTTTACGCCGCTTTTAGCAATATTCCAGCAATATCATGGCGGGGGACACCAAAATGAGCTTCACCCATGTGGGGAATCGAATCCGGGTCTTCGGCGTGACGAGCGAACGCTTTAACCACTAGGCTACCCCACCGCCCTTATCTGAATAGAACCTTAGATTTTCTACAGTACTATAACTTGAGCTTATCTTGTACCGCTGTGCACAACATCTGTGTACTCTAAATGTACTTTAGACCATGTGGTCGCCATACCGAAAAAGATTGTTATTGCGATTGCCCTGACATTTCCTGTTAAGTGTGTTCATACTTTGAACTTAAATTGAGGCCTGTTCTTTAATAGTTGTAGAATGTTAAACACCGCTTCAGAGCGTGTGATTGTGATGATCATCAATAATGACCATCTCTTTTGTTGTGTCAGCGTAGTTCAACCACAGTCGTATGCCTCGTATGTGGATAACGAGGCAGGTTTAGTATATATAGACCCAGAGAGTCCGAGCACACCACACAGCCTGTTCCACACAGACAAGGTAGGTACATATGATGCATGGTTGAAAGATTCATGTGATGAGTGAGTGAGTTTAGTTTTACGCCACAGGAAGGATTCGTGTGACGTACTGTAAGTGAACAATTCGGAAACGGTTGCATAAAAAAATATATGATATAAAGATATGAAACATGAAATGGGATTCAATTCAGGGCGATGGCGATGAAAAACGCAGAAAAAAATGCTGCCCTTACGTATGCATATGCAATTCAACGACCGATATATTGATAGGGGAACATGCACCTCTCCATTTAGGAGGAGTGAAAACAGACATTAACAATGACTATTGCCGTTATATCGATCCATTACATCTGAACCTTATGTAAAATGAATTTAGCAAGACTAAATCTCCCCTAAAACATCATAGTCTAATGGATAGAGCACCTGCCCTAAAAGCAGGGGTTCGACTGTGGTACTTGTGGACAGCCTGTCTCATTGAGCTAGTATTATAAAACCGGCATAAGTAATCACTGTTGCTAGCAAAGTCGAGCTCTTTCATCCAGCCAAACCGGTACATTGCACTTTTCACTACAAAATATCTTCATTATTTTTAGAGAAATGTGCCGGAAATTCAACATGCTTAAATAGCCACAACATACTTAATGTATGCCTCAGCTATGTGTTTCTTTCGCATGCACGGCCACTCAAAGTTATGCTGAACTGACGTTTTCAAAAAGAGTACCCAATTGTTTTCACGAAGTTTCCTATGTAATTTACGAGTTGAATAAACAGAACCACGAAGTAATAAATTTAAATTGGCCAAGAGTCTTTGCTCTAATTTGATAATAACAATCCTAAAATCGTATTGGTTTCCGTAGTTCATGAAATAACACTGTTTTCGAACTAGATACCGCAAGTGTTTGACACATTATGTAGTTTGCGGAAGCTAATGTTTGTTCATTTACTACTGACAACACATCGCGACGCTGTACAAACACACAAATCTACTCCATGCTCGCCACGTAACAATCAAGGTGAGGTTGATATGCGATGAAGCCAAAGTGCAGTGACGTGTTTAATGAAAGTAAGAGTCAGTTAACGCCTCAGGGTCAGGCACGAGCACAACGTCCATGACTGCACACAGCTACATTGCTGACGTTGTGTACGTGTCCTCCTGCTGTTCGCGACGTATACAAATACAAAACACACGCATACTACAGTGGGAGAGTACATAGAGGCTGACAGCTCGGCCTAGACACTGTTTGCATTTGGAGAGAGAAACGTGTAGATCTAGAGTTCGGTATGTACTGATAAAGTTTAAATTTCATAACAATTTCATGAATATACGTTGTTGGAAACATTATTATTTTTACAAATGAACAGAAATAAATGCAGCAGAGGGTTCGATTGGTTCTAGCACAGTAAGGCTGGTTATGCTCATCATCAGCTCCGGGCAATTGTTCCCTCAACACGCAGCATAAATAGTGAATGGGACTCCTCCCAGGAAGCGCTGCCTTGTCGAACCCACCTAACACTTTCTGGAGGTTGTGAAGACTCCCCAACACCACAGCCGTCTGCATTACCCAGATTGTTAGAAGGGTTGGGTACTCTCCAAATTCAGTGATGAGACTGAGAGGTACCAAACCTAAGCCACCAAGAACAAGGGGAAGTCATCCATAGAAACAGACTGATACACTGGAACTGCCCACGCACCAGGAAAAGACATCTCAGCTTTCACTGAAAACCTGGTCAGTGTGTATTAAGAGTCCTAACTCTGCCCATTTTTGTTTTCAGATATATTCATAACTCAAATCGCCTACAGATCCCGCTGACCATCAAGATGCTGAGTCTGGTATGTATGTACAAAACAAAACGATTCTGTAGAGACATCCTACAAACGTTTAGGGGTAGGCTTTCGGTGCTTCTTTCTCTCTAACTAACCACTCTCTTGACTGTTGAGGTCATTAACACCAGGTGATAATTAGTCACTGCCGTTACCTGGACGTCTATCCTTCTTGTAAGGAGCGGTGGATGTGGCCTCAGTTTGTGGTAACCTGTTTATTATATTTCTGGATGTGGCTTCAGTCAGTGGTAACCAGTTATTCATAATATGTTTGTATGTGGCCTCAGTCAGTGGTAACCTGTTGTTCATAATATTTCTGGATGTGGCTTCAGTCAGTGGTAACCAGTTGTTCATAATATTTCTGGATGTGGCTTCAGTCAGTGGTAACCAGTTGTTCATAATATTTTTGTATGTGGCCTCAGTCAGTGGTAACCAGTTGTTCATAATATTTCTGGATGTGGCCTCAGTCAGTGGTAACCAGTTGTTCATAATATTTTTGTATGTGGCCTCAGTCAGTGGTAACCAGTTGTTCATAATATTTTTTTTATGTGGCCTCAGTCAGTGGCAACCTGTTGTTCATAATATTTTTGTATGTGGCCTCAGTCAGTGGTAACCAGTTATTCATAATATTTTTGTATGTGGCCTCAGTCAGTCGGTAAGTCAGTAACCTGTTCATAATATTTCTGGATGTGGCTTCAGTCAGTGGTAACCAGTTGTTCATAATATTTTTGTATGTGGCCTCAGTCAGTGGTAACCAGTTGTTCATAATATTTTTGTATGTGGCCTCAGTCAGTGGTAACCAGTTGTTCATAATATTTTTGTATGTGGCTTCTCAGTCAGTATGTGGCCTCAGTGGTAACCAGTTGTTCATAATATTTTTGTATGTGGCCTCAGTCAGTGGTAACCTGTTGTTCATAATATTTTTGTATGTGGCCTCAGTCAGTGGTAACCAGTTGTTCATAATATTTCTGGATGTGGCTTCAGTCAGTGGTAACCTGTTGTTCATAATATTTTTTTATGTGGCCTCAGTCAGTGGTAACCTGTTCATGGTATTTCTGGATGTGGCCTCAGTTAGTGGTAACCAGTTGTTCATAATATTTCTGGGTGTAGCCTCAGTCAGTGGTAACCTGTTTATTATATTTCTGGATGTGGCCTCAGTTAGTGGTAACCAGTTGTTCATAATATTTCTGGATGTAGCCTCAGTCAGTGGTAACCTGTTTATTATATTTCTGGATGTGGCCTCAGTTAGTGGCAACCAGTTGTTCATAATATTTCTGGATGTGGCCTCAGTTAGTGGTAACCAGTTGTTCATAATATTTCTGAATGTAGCCTCAGTCAGTCGTAACCTGTTTATTATATTTCTGAACGTGACCTCAGTTAGTGGTAACCTGTTTATTATATTTCTGGATGTGACCTCAGTCAGTGGTAACCTGTTCATTATATTTCTGGATGTAGCCTCAGTCAGTGGTAACCTGTTTATTATATTTCTGGATGTGACCTCAGTCAGTGGTAACCTGTTTATTATATTTCTGGATGTGACCTCAGTCAGTGGTAACCTGTTCATGGTATTTCTGGATGTGGCCTCAGTCAGTGGTAACCCTGTTCATGATATTTCTGGATGTGGCCTCAGTCAGTGGTAACCAGTTGTTCATAATATTTTTGGATGTGGCCTCAGTCAGTGGTAACCTGTTCATGGTATTTCTGGATGTGGCCTCAGTCAGTGGTAACCTGTTCATGATATTTCTGTATGTGGCCTCAGTCAGTGGTAACCTGTTCATGATATTTCTGTATGTGGCCTCAGTCAGTGGTAACCTGTTCATGATATTTTTGTATGTGGCCTCAGTCAGTGGTAACCTGTTCATGATATTTCTGGATGTGGCCTCAGTCAGTGGTAACCGGCTGTTCGTGGTATTTCTGGATGTGGCCTCAGTCAGTGGTAACCTGTTCATGATATTTTTGTATGTGGCCTCAGTCAGTGGTAACCTGTTCATGATATGGTATTTTTGTATGTGGCCTCAGTCAGTCAGTGGTAACCTGTTCATGATATTTTTTGTATGTGGCCTCAGTCAGTGGTAACCTGTTCATGATATTTTTGTATGTGGCCTCAGTCAGTGGTAACCTGTTCATGGTATTTCTGGATGTGGCCTCAGTCAGTGGTAACCTGTTCATGATATTTTTGTATGTGGCCTCAGTCAGTGGTAACCTGTTCATGGTATTTTTGTATGTGGCCTCAGTCAGTGGTAACCTGTTTTCATGATATTTTTGTATGTGGCCTCAGTCAGTGGTAACCTGTTCATGGTATTTCTGGATGTGGTGTCAGTCAGTGGTAACCCTGTTCATGGTATTTTTGTATGTGGCCTCAGTCAGTGGTAACCTGTTCATGATATTTTTGTATGTGGCCTCAGTCAGTGGTAACCTGTTCATGATATTTTTGTATGTGGCCTCAGTCAGTGGTAACCTGTTCATGGTATTTCTGGATGTGGCCTCAGTCAGTGGTAACCTGTTCATGGTATTTCTGGATGTGTCCTCAGTTAGTGGTAGCCTATTCATTATTTTTTAGACAAGGTTGAAAAACTGAAATGCGGTCAAGAATGAGTAGTGTCGTTATGAGTGAGTGAGTGAGTGAGTTGGGTTTTACGCCGCTTTTAGCAATATTCCAGCAATATCACGGCGGGGGACACCATAAATGGACTTCACACATTGTGCCCATGTGGGGATTCGAACCCGGGTCGTCAGCGTGACGAGCCGACGCTTTAACCATTAGGCTACCCCACCGCCCGAGTGTCGTTATGAAGATAACACGAATATTTGATATTCGGAATTGTGTTTGAGACAGAATATGTTTTCAGGCAGCGCTTCAACCAACCGGTTTGTCCCGAGATAGGGTCAAGCGAAATAGTCTGTAATATCGTGTTAAGGATAGATTCTTATTTACTAGACCTTTGAGTGAGTAGGTGAGTGAGTGAGTGAATCTAGTTTTAGTTAGGTTAGGCGATATTCCAGTAATATGGAGGCCGTATGTTAATAATTCTGGAACAGACAACCCAGTGATCAACAGCATGAGCATCGGTCTACGCAATTGTGATACGATGACATGTGTCAACCAAGTCAGTGAGGTGAAATTGGGTTTAACGTCGTGCTTGAGAATATTTCGCTCATATGACGATGTGCATGCGTGTGTATGTGTATGTGCGGCTGCTTGTACTAGCTCAGACTTAAGCTGGTTTACTGAGATACTTCCTCGTTGTAATGACTGTACGCTGCAAATTCTCTTTTTAATTCCTTCACTGCCGAACACAACACGGCCTGTGGGTGGAAAAGGCACAATATGCTCTGTATCCACACCACAATATTTTCTAAAAATAACAGCCCGTCCAGCAAACGGTTCGTATTCGTAAATATATACAAGGAGTGATTATTGTTTTCAAAGAACGTTGTTATTTCAGAGACTTGCAATCCTAGTCATCCTGGCAGTGACTATGACAGTGACTGTGACGGGCCAGGCAAGCAGATGCACATTGTGTGTACGAGCTTGCACGAACCAGGAGATGCAGTGCAGATTCGACAAAACCATCTGTCCAAATGGACCCCTGACACGCAGCTGCAGAACTACATGCGGCGCTGCATTCGAGAACTGTCCTAGTGGATGTGACTGCCAGTGATGACTTGCACCAGGCTGGCTTCCACAGTGAATGACATGTAAACATCATGTATAATATACTACATGCATCTGAAAGCAATATTGTTTTGTGATTACTTCTACAACACGGCTTATTATGTGAGTGAGCGATGTTGTAAGGCTGGGTTTACAAAGTCTCCTTGGTAATGAATGATTCTGATCATCATGAATGAGGGAGTGCTTTGTTGTCACACCCACTGTGAGTTATTTCAGTTATATCCTCACGTGTCAGCTTAATGAATGAGCAATATTCATATTGCTTTTAGCAATATTCCAGCAATATCCCGGGGACACCAGAAATGGGCTTCACACATTGGACCCATGTGGGGAATCGAACCCCTGTCTTCGGCGTGACGAGCGAACGTTTTAACCACTAGGCTACCCCACCGCCCCGTTTAATGAATGCGGAAAGTTGTTGCTACTCGTTCTGTTGGAGCAAGAATCTCAATGGGTTCAGAATTTAAATCCCCATCGAGCAATGCTTTGTGGACAATGGAATAAAAATCAGAAAGTAAAATCATCGTTATGAATGGGTGTGTGAGTTGAACTGACACCTTGTCGCCCTATGTAAGATGTGTTAAAACGGCCTAAAAATTTACTAAAACGCGACAATGCGAAAATTCGACATTTTGATGAAATGTCGCGTTGTCGCATTGTCGCGTGTCGCGTTTTAGTCAATACGTTATAATACATACCATAGTCAATATTTTAACAAAGCGCGACACGTGACAATGCGACATTTCATCAAAATGTCGCGTTTTATTAGTTACGGCGGATTTTATAAACTATCACAAGCATGATTACTTTTCGATGTTTGGAGCGGAGTGGAGTGGAGTGGAGCGGAGGGAGTGAGTGAGTGAGTGAGTGAGTGAGTGAGTGAGTGAGTGAGTGAGTGAGTGAGTGAGTGAGTGAGTGAGTGAGTGAGTGAGTGAGTGAGTGAGTGAGTGAGTGAGTGAGTGAGTGAGTGAGTGAGTGAGTGAGTGAGTGAGTGAGTGAGTTTAGTTTTACGCCGCTTTTAGCAATATTCCAGCAACATAACGGCGGGGGACACCAGAAATGGGCTTCACACATTGGACCCATGTGGGGAATCGAACCCGGGTCTTTGTCGTGACGAGCGAACGTTTTAACCACTAGGCTATCCCACCGCCCTAGTGAGTGAGTGAGTGGAGGTGGAGTGGAGTGGAGTGGAGTGGAGTGGAGTGGAGTGAATGAGTGAGCGGAGCGGAGAGGAGTGGAGTGGAGCGGAGCGGGGGGAGGGAGGGAGGGAGGGAGCGAGCGAGCGAGGGAGAGTTGATTTCTTGCACTCCAAGGGTACGCAACTCTGCCAAGCGATTTCACCGGTTTTAATATCATAATGATAACAGTCCATTTGTATGGCGTTTTCCCAAGAAGAATATCACGTTTAAAGCCGACCTAAACTGTCTTTGAGGTGCTGGATGGTTAAGTGATATTACCAATCTCATTCTACCTGGTATCCATCCACTGCTGGCTGAACAGAGGCAGATGTCGGACAAATTCATCACCGTCGGACAGGACTGTACCAAGAAACTCTGTCAGGAGCCAAACTGTGGAACATAGTGACCCATTCGTGGACATCACTTGATGTTTCTGATGGTGTGGCCTGAATTTTAACAATATTTCAGTTTTTTCACAACCTGTCAGCTTGATATCGGTGAAATGTCCAAAGTGATGAGTGTGTATGGTGCTGGGATTAGAACCTATGATCATAGTTTTCTGGTGTGACTAAGAGACACAACTTCTGCACAGCAAATTGCCCCGCCTTGAATGACAGGGCCACCGTGTGCCGCCATTACAAGGAATAGTAGCGCTAATGATTTGACTTGCTGCTAAAACACACTTGATTGGCCAAATACATTTACAATATATACAATAATTTTCAAAGCAACAATGAAAGATTTGCATTAAGTTCAAGAAAAGCAGCCCCATTATCATTACGCGTACTACTTCATTGTAAAAACCATTGGAGGTAACAAAAGACCACTGAAGTGTGAAATAGAGTATAACTTTTCCTGCGTATGCGTAGACTAATTGCCTTTCTACGCATGCGCACCGGTAATCTTTTTCCTTTTACACATCTTAGATAGGGCGACAATGCGACAACGCGACATATTTTGACATTGAAAATTGTCGCTATGTCGCGTGTCGCCCTTTGGAGGAATAGAAAAATATTATTCAAAACGCGACACGCGACATCGCGACAATGCGACAAATGGGCGAAATGTCGCGTGTCGCGTTTTGGTTTATTTTGCCTCATTTTACTTGTTTTTTGAGAGGGCGACAATGCGACAACGCGACAATGTTCCTTCTCGGATTCCATATCAGTGGCTGTCTGTAATAAAAGAAAAAAACACAATGCTAACAATCCCGTCTCCAGCCACCTCAACAACATCCTTCGTGTATGGTGAGAATGACACTCACTCACTCACTCACTCACTCACTCACTCACTCACTCTAGTCAACCGTACAATAACAATGTTGCTGTGCGTCTATTTCCAAGCTGAAAACATAAGTTAACCCGAAATCTGCTACTGTACGTGAAAGAAATCGTAATCAACATTTGTATTCTAGAATTGACTAAGTTTACAAATCAAAGTACAAAAAAGTGACAAATTCAATTGCTGCTAAAATGTAAGTAAAATGTTAAAGTAAGTATACACCAATCTTAATGATACTATTGCAGTGATTCGGCGACTGTTTTCAGGAAAGTAACATTTTACTAACGTTTGTTACGTTCAAGACAAATCCATCATTTAAATGTATCATTCAATGGCCGGAAGTTCAGTTTACTGTATTCAAACTCTCCGATCCATACAAAAAATACAAACACAAATAATGCATATGTACAATTGTAGAAAGCATGTGTCAATTTGAGGGGTCAACAGTTTTTCTCTGTTTGAATAAGCGAACTATCTGAAAAGATTTATCTCATGTGTTTGGATATATTATGTACGGCTGTATGTTTTTCTCCAAACATTTCACAACTCAGCTAGAATATGGAATTTCTGCCTAGTAGATGTAAAGTACAAATAATGGCGCCCTCTGGTGGATAGAAACTAAAGGTGCTAGCTGATAACATTATAACATTGACTGATACTTCAGATACACTGTGTAATGTTGTCTATAAATAATATATGATAGCATACCGACTCGACGACGATCACTGACATGTTATCATTATCAAGATACACCCTCCAGCGGAAAAGATACTCCCTCACAATCCATCCGACCACTCGTTTACATACACATGACAAACACTTCACTTGACATATCTCTGGGAACAAAGAGGAATTGTGTTGCTCTCTTCCAGCGCTTTCATCGCCAAGCATCAGTGCGTCATACATAACTGGCAAGAAGATTTTGAAGCATCAACAGTTATAATGCCAGTACATCTTCCCTAGTCCATTTATTCAACACAGACATCTTTAAAACAACATGAATACTCCTGGTTTCAATTCAGCATCTGTTTCACATCACTCACTATCTTTTGTCCATCATACTATTACATACTGCATTGATAAGAAGACCAATTCGCTTCACAGTAAATGTTATCAGTGGCCTTATTCAGATCGGAACAAGCTCAAGTCACAGTCCGATGGTGGTCAGCCGACTGACTCCTTCTCAAGATTGAAGTAAACAGTGTAACAAACGCCTTGAATTTCGGGGTGAAAATATTATATACGTTTAACAACTAACTACATGTCATCACATGTGATCATTAAAGAAATAGAGCTTAAGACAATGTACACTTTTTTGACAAGTATGTGTGTTTCCGTTTTGATCAGGGTGCGTGTGGCGTTTTGACTTGGTAGTGTATCTGTTTAGACTTGGTACCATGGCTGTTGTGTGTGGTCGTTTTGACTAAGCATTGTGGTTGTTTTGACTAGGTAGTGTATCTGTTTTGACTAAGTATTGTGCCCGTTTTGACTAGGGAGAGTGTGAACGTTTTGACTAGGGAGCGAGTGTACGTTTTGACTAGGGAGAGTGTGAACGTTTTGACTAGGAGCGTGTGGACGTTTTGACTAGGAGAGTGTGAACGTTTTGACTAGGACGTTTTGACTGTGTGGACGTTTTGACTAGTGGAGGGAGCGTGAACGTTTTGACTGACTAGGGAGTGTGTGGACGTTTTGACTAGGGAGTGTGTGGACTTTAGGACTGGACGTTTTGACTAGGAAGTGTGGACGTGATGTGGACGTTTTGACTAGTGGAGAGCGTGAACGTTTTGACTAGGGAGTGTGTGGACGTTTTGACTAGGGAGTGTGTGACGTTTTGACTAGGAGTGTGTGGACGTTTTGACTGTGAACGTTTTGACTAGGGAGTGTGACGTTTTGACTAGTGTGGACGTTTTGACTAGGGAGTGTGTGGACGTTTTGACTTGTGACGTTTTGACTAGGGAGTGTGTGGACGTTTTGACTAGGGAGTGTGTGGACGTTTTGACTAGGGAGAGCGTGAACGTTTTGACTAGGGAGGGTGTGGACGTTTTGACTAGGGAGTGTGTGGACGTTTTGACTAGGGAGGGTGTGGAATCGTGAACGTTTTGACTAGGAGTGTGTGGACGTTTTGACTAGGACTAGGGCGCATGTGTGGGTGTGTGACGTTTTGACTAGGCTCGTGCGTGGCCGTTTTGATTTAAGTGTGTGGCCGTTTTTTTCACAGGGAAGTGTGGACGTTTTGACTAGGAGAGTGTGAACGTTTTGACTAGGGGAGTGTGTGGACGTTTTGACTAGAGGCGTGTGTGGACGTTTTGACTAGTGGAAGCGTGAACGTTTTGGAACGTTTTGCTAGACGTTTTGGAGTGTGTGAACGTTTTGACTAGGGAGAGTGTGGACGACTAGGGGTGGAGCCTTTGTAGGGACGTTTTGACTAGGGAGGGTGTGGACGTTTTGACTAGGGAGTGGAACGTTTTGACGTGGGACGTTTTGACTAGGACGTTTTGACTAGTGTGGACGTTTTGACTAGGGAGGAAGTGTGGACGTTTTGACTAGGAGAGTGTGAACGTGTGTGGACGTTTTGACTAGGGAGTGTGAACGTTTTGACTAGGGTGAGTGTGGAGCGTTTTGAACGTTTTGACTAGGAGCGTGTGGACGTTTTGACTAGGGCGCCTTTGTGTGGACGTTTTGACTAGGGGAGCGTGTGGACGTTTTGACTAGGGAGTGTGTGTTTTGACTAGGAGGGCGTGTGGACGTTTTGACTAGGGAGGTGTGGACGTTTTGACTAGTGGGCGTTTTGTGAGCGTGTGGACGTTTTGACCGTGTGGCCGTTTTGACTTGGAAGTGTGTGGCCGTTTTGACTAGGGAGAGTGTGGCTGCTCCGCCTGCAGCGCATGGGTGATCATCAGTTTCTTCTCCTGTGTCATGTAGATGCCATGGCCGACTACAAGCGTCATCTTGACGTTGACGTCATCAGGGTTATATACCCCGAACATCGGCCACAGGGGCTGACTAGAGTCTACATTGTCTAAGGTCACCATTACTTTGTTCTCATTAACGTCAACGAAGGCAATCTTCTTCCTGCTGTCATCATACACCACGCCGTAATGAAGTGTGGTTGAGCCCTGTATGTCACCGAGAGCTACGGGAAGATGCAGCACATGCTTCCGCTTCTTCCATATGTTCCTACATATGCCGCCATGCGTAGGGCACTGGGAAATGGTGAGACTGTAGGAGTGATTCTGACCCCCTACTAATTCTATTTTATCCAACACATCCCTTCTGCAGATGCCTGTTTCCAAAACAGACCGAGTGCCTCGAAGTGTCCTTTTCAAGCTTAGCCGAGCGATCATCTCCCAGTATTGGGGGTAGCCGGTCCTGGGGAGGGGGTTGGTGCTGCAGGTACCCCGGTACGTCTTCAGTCTCCCCTGCCGTGGAAGCCTGGTGTCCGGTCTCCTGTTGACCAGGTCTTCCTCCTTAGTGACGTTGACATAGTCGAGATTGAATGCGCTGTAGTCGTACTGCACGTGTATGCCTACAACGTAATTAAGATTACACAAGGAGACTGTGAGTTGGGTTGAACGCCCCTTTCAGCATTATATCAATGACGTCACGGGGTGTCAGCTTACTGTAGGAGGTGAGTGAGTGAATGAGTTTAGTTTTACGCCGCACTCAGCAATATTCCAGACAATCAATGATCAACAGCATGAGCATCGATCTACGCAATTGGGATACGATGACACGTGTCAACCAAGTCAGTGAGCCCGACCACCCGATCCCGTTAGTCGCCTCTTAGGACAAACATGGGTTGCTGAATATCAATTCTAACCCGGATCTTCACGAGTTACTGTGGGAGGTAAAATGACGTTTAACACTCGGTAAAACCCACGTCCCCTGGTGATAGCAAATCTGGACACATATCGGGGCAAACCGGGATTCTTGCGTGCTAAAGGGACGTATCTTTGCTTGGTTTTCATGCTCTGCCTTTGACGACTACGCCACCCATACACCAAGTTTTCATATTACAAAAATAATTACATTAAAGAATACAGTTCAATATGACAATAACATATTTGTTTCGAATTGTGTAACAAATGGTAATTGTTAGATCGTTATTATATATCAATGAGGAATGTATATTTATCATGACAAAATGTTTAAGAAAATATTACACACACTGGAATTCAACCTATCAGTGTAGCCAAGGGGGGCAAGATGCATGGTCATTGAAACTGCGTGATCAACAGATAACAAACTGCATGGCAACAGATAACGATAGATACTTACACTGTAGGATGACAGGAGCTTGGTCCATGGCGGTTGTCTCCAGAAGGTGGTAGGTGACTGGAGCACCATCTGCGTGGAGTGAAAGTTAACCGTGAGCACAAAATGTTCCTCAGACTGTTTTTGTGCATTTAAAGATACCTCAAACGCTGATTCACTTTTAATGAACACACCCTTGATTCCACAGTCCCAATGTTCCTACCTGATTTGACGGTGTCCCCACTGTTGGCATTCTTTGTGACCTGCTGAACATCTTTCTGCAGACAAGCAACTTCCTGAAATGAGGAACAGGATGTAATCTCGTGCAAAGCAAGGACAAAGAAACAATCCTGAGGCTAAAACCAAATATCTGTTCAGTTATATCAGATTACTGAGGTTGATTAATACATGTCCTACAATAAGTTGCTGCACAATTTTTGACATGCCACAAGGGGCGGTGGGGTAGCCTAGTGGTGAATGCGTCCGCTCGTCACGCCAAAGACCCGCATTCGAGAAGCCCACTCATAGTGTCCCCGCCATGATATTGCTGGAATATTGCTAAAAGCTCCGTAAAATCATACTCACTCACTGATATGTGACAAGTATCGCATGAGGAAACCTGGGAACTGGCAGATTATGTGAACCTTCACTCATATTCTAGTCAGTACAATAGAGTATGTAATAAAACAACACCCAAAACACCTGGTTCATGTTGTAGCAATAGTCAGACATAATAGTTTGACTTTCCACTGTTCACACAATAACATTTCAATGAACACCTTTTAGATGTACAAGTAATGACAATAGGGTCATGGTCATATCATTTAAACCAGGTGTCGGCGGCAAGGGATGACTGTAAAGGTTTTATGAAAGACGTGCCTACAAAGCGCCATCATACAATCTGATGGTAAAAAAGATAGAATAAAGATATAGGGGATTTCGTTATTTCAGTCAGCTATGTGTTTGAATAGAGATACAACAAGTGTTGCACCATGTAAGTGGACACTCGTAAAATGTGCGTATGTGTTTCATACTCATTGGTAAACTGGAGTTAAACAAAAAAATGGAAGACATAGTCTCTCTTACTCGTCTGTCTTGGTTTCTGTTTGTATCACCAGCATGTACAGCCCCGTGACCTGGAAGAGGAAAGCGGAACCTTACAATGCCTTGATGCCTCCTTCACATGAACTTGAAATAAATGTTGGGTAAATTATGTTTAGTAATATTTATCTTACCTCACACATAAATGTCGCTTTCTGATTGGCTGAGCGCTCTTTTATTATCATCAATGTACCCCGCTTACAAGCAAGTAACATTTCAATGTACCCCACTGTCAATGGCAACTCATTTGGTACTTCGTGGTACTAATTCTTTATCTAGAATTACATTGAATCACGTTTATGATGTACGGAAATTACCGATGTTTTGCGAATGCAAATCGATGGATGGGAGATAACTCTAAATCTGTTTTTCTTGTCAGCAACATCTAGTGATGGCTACAAAGAGATTTGTACCCGTGCTTCAAACAATTCAAAATTAACATTAAGGTGTTCGGTAAGATAAATACGTTGTTCACTGGTCCCTCGGAGCCCATGGGTTAATGTATCCTCGATGTTGTTTATGTTCCCTGAGCCCGAAGGGCGACGGGAACATAAACAAACATCGAGGGTACATTAACCCATGCCCCCCTCGTGACCAGTGAACAACTTATATATGTAGTGTATTGAGGAAGTGGGAAGACGTAGTCACATACCTCTACACGCCCCATCTTCACTTGCAGATCCCAATTTGCTGATGTTGTCAATGGTGGATATTTTGTCCTTCAAATCATCGAGTTTGTTCATGTTCAGAGCAAGGATAGGCGTTTCGTAGTTAGGGGGAACTGAGTCGATGCAGCTCTTGGTTTCATCCCTCAATACCTTGTCAAGGGCCACCATGTCTGATTTGGAAGCATACATCAGTGTCTTCCTAATGTAGTCTGAGGCCCCACTGCCTCTCATTTGATTGTCATTAAATCTACCTTGCAGATCCTGGAGGTTGGACTTTATTTGCTTTGACCGACCTGCAATATCACTGATGCACTCTTTCTCCTTTTGATCAAGTTGGTCCCTCAGAGAGTCAAATGTCTGTCTGATGGTCTTCTTAAGGGTGTTGCATGTGGTCTCGGTGACTTCAATATCTTTTCCGATTCTTTCAATTTGAGACTGTTGCCGGGTCTGCAGCAAGGACATGGCTTGTGAGTGGTGTTCTATCTGTTGTTTGGAAGCACTGGCGATGACAGTCAAGTCTTCCACGTCGTGAGAAGCATGATCCTCTCGCATACATCGATCACAGAGCAAAGTCTTACAGTCCTTGTCAAACCTGTCAAGAGGATAAAATTTGTGAATACTGCAGAAGGGGTGGCCGTCAATCTGAGAAGGCTCCATCTCTAGGAGGGTGTGGACAGAATGCATCTTGGTGGCTTTAAAGCTGCTGTGCGTGTTCTGACAGTATTCACAGAGGAACTCCGCACAATCCTGACACCAACACATAGCCTGGTTGCCGTCATCTTCATGGGTACAGAGAAGCACCGTCGGGCGATGTTTGACTGTCAGGTAGAACACTTCCTTCTCTCTGATTGCATCCTTCTGGAGGGTTGTGTCTGTTAGGTTGACCTTTCTCTGACATGTGCACGATATCACACCACCAGCTGCAGATGTGACACACGTCTCGCACACAGCGTGTAGACAGGGCAGTAGGTAAGGGGCGGGGCCTTTCAGGGTAAACTGCATCTGACACAATGAACACAGCGGGAATGTGTCCATTCTGCAACATAAAAGACAGTTTAAAGTGGCTGCCTTTGGGATGCCTGATTTGTTTCATAGCTTGATGATTTTCTTTGATGTAGGTCATGATGAACATTTGTTGATGATGACGATGATAATTTTTATCCCAGTGCCACCGCCGCCGCCGCTGCCGACGATGATGATGATGAATGATGATGACGAATATGATGATGATGATGATGATGATGATGATGAGGAGGAGGAGGATGATGATGATGACGATGACGATGATGATGATGATGGCTGCTGAATGTATTTTAAATTAGTATTGGAAAACAATAACCGAGACACATGATATTGGCAAACTGAAAATGAATACAATCATTAGAACACATATAATTGCTGAACGATGTGTACATCATGTGACCACACTAGTGAGGCCAGTGTGCTGATCAACACGTAGTCAACAACAGTGTAATCAATCACAAACCCATCAGCACTTCACCTCGAGAATCCAACTGCAGCAGTATCAAAAGCCGACCAATATTTAGAAATAAATAGTTACAGTTACCTCGCGAATCTCTCCTTCCTGAACATTGCGGCATATAACGCATCTCACATATAAGTGTGTCCTTCAAGAAGCCCTGCTGGACTCAATTTATACTCATGTCGTCCCTACCTCATCAATCTCTATATGTAGATAAGAGATACACCTCCCACATAGATAGCGCAGATGCCCACGTGATGCTCAATTTACATACACAAGAGCTGTGCGTACTGTATTGAGATATATCAGTCAGTTGTTTCGTAATACCGAACACACCTGGAACACGTCTCTGTTGTTGTTATACACCCACGAACCATTGTCTGGTCAAACTCCATACAGTGTTATGTTTCAGGGTACCGGTTCACTAATCTATTGTAACGCTACGACTGTCGAAACTCGTATACTTTAACATAAACAGTAGTAGTAAATATGTGTACATTTAGTGAACAAACGGCCAAACAGATTTTTATCAATAGAAATATAAATGATATAGAAATAAGATTTTGTCACTGGAATGTGCCATGCCAGTTTACACTTTTCAGAGGGGTACACAAATTATATGATCTACACTATCAGATATCTGACATCCAGTTTGTTGAAGCAGCGGTGGCAGAGTGGATGGCTGACTTCGTGTGTTGGCCATATTTTAACGCGGGCCACTAAAGTGTGCAGGATTGGTTTAATATCGGTCACTTTTCCCATCAATCTTGATCAGGGACATCTGCATCTTGATTGAAAAGTTTTGACTCAGACATATTCAACCTTCTATATGGGGTCGGTTGGCCAGACTCGCTAACTTGATTGATGCATGTCATCGTTTTCTAACTGTGTAGATCGATGTTCATAATGTCAATCACTGGATTGTCTGGGGAAGACTCCAATATTTACAGCCCGTCATCAGAGTGTTGGAGTGCATGGGTGAAAGAGCAAACAAACACTAATATAAGTTTGGCACGATTGGGGAAGATTGTATCCCAATAATATAAAGTCCATCTCATATCCAAGTCCTCTTGGCTATCCAAAACGTTTTGCTTCGCTTCCATGACGTCATCCTTCAAATTGATAAGGGCTATGGCAAGTATTCCTCAAGCCTGTCCATTTTTCAAGGTCATGTTTAGGCTTGTCAAAGAGAGACAATTCTCTCTGTTGTTTCAAGAATTTACTGGATTTAATATGTAACTCACGCTACTCCTCCTGTGTGTGAGATTCGGAACTTAAAAGTCCACACTGGTTCGAGGCAGCACTCCTGACAGACCCAATCAACTAATTGTCGCAACATATTCAAAGAGTTTTCCTGATAAACCTCTGACAAAAACTGCTGACAAAAACACGCACAATCTTGTTGATACCAAACATTTATTAAGTTCAACATATAAAATATTTAACCAAGTCCAACAATAAAAATAACAATAACCACTAGGCTACCCAACCGCCCAAGCTACCTAAACTGGTCACTAAGCTCTCTCAACATGCACATAATGAAGTAAGGGAGGGTGTGGGGGGGTGTGTGTGTGTGTGTGTGTGTGTGTGTGTGTGTGTGTGTGTGTGTGTGTTACAGTTATTTCAGAAATGACGCCTTAACTCTTTGATAAAACAAAAGTCGTTCATAGTGCCACTTGTTTTCTATATTTAGGGGCTCTAGGCTAGAACTGTAAGCAAATTCGATTCAACTCGTTGAAAACCCCTTTGCCAACATAACAACCTGGTCACAAGATGAACATAAATGTAACAACGATTATCGAAATTACATAGTGTCAAGTGTCTTATTTCAACTAAAGATACAGATTAAACACAAGAAGATACAGATTAAACACAAGAAGATACAGATTAAACACAAGAAGATATAGATTAAACACAAGAAGATACAGATTAAACATAAGAAGATACAGATTAAACACAAGAATGTGAACCAAGGTCCCCATTTAATGTACATTCATCAGTTTGAATACACCTTGTACTTGGGACTGATTCTGAATAACCGCATCTTACGAGTGACACAACACTACACAAACTGTAGTTTAAACTCATTGTATATTTTGAGAACGTGAGGCTCATCAATGTCTACCTTTCCAAATACGTAGCTTTTAAACTCCGTACACTTTTATACCCTGTGGCATGACAGTTTAGAAAATATCAATTATCACAGAAAATTACCATTTTGAACCGAACACGGCAAACTTCAAGCATGGAGACTGTGAGTGTGTTGACAGGTACACAGAGCAAGGTTTTCACACTTACCAACAAACATAACCAGAGAGAGGTGGGGAGGTGAAATTGGGTTTAACGTCGTGCTTGAGAATATTTCGCTCATATGACGACGTGCATGCGTGTGTATGTGTATATGCGGCTGCTTGTACTATAGCCCAGACTTAAGCTGGTTTTATAGTGCTAGCCCACTGAGATACCATGCCGCAGTGAAGCATGAATACCCCACTCAGACACATTATACTGACTCCGAGCTGACCAGTCCTTGTTGTACCCATTAATGCCGAGCGCCAGGCAGGGACCAACAAGTACCATATTTTAACGTCGAACCCGCGACCTTCCGCTCTCCGGGCGGACGCTCTAACCACTACAATCTACTGTTGATGGTGGGGTCGGAAAGGTTAGACAAGAAGTAATCAGTTCAGAATGCCAATAACTGAAGCAGTGGTATATATTTCAGTCCAGTGATAGGCTCGAGTATTTCACCTGGCGACATGGAACCCCTCATAACGAAGATGTCATCCCCTGTTGTAAATGCTTTTGTCAGTAGTGTTTATATGGTACCCCGGTATATGGAGGTTTATGTTATTTGAGTTGGGAGGGATAGACATGGAGCATATCACACTCCTTGTCAGGTGCAGCGTAGATCGTGAAAGGTAGGCATAATGCATTGTGAACACATCGTGTTTCAGGTCAAGGCAGCTGAACCAACAGATCAGCCTCGCATTAGGTGTTATCTGATCTGCCATACTGTGATAACAGCACTGCAACTCTATCAATAACTGTGTGCTGGAATGCGTGGCATTTCTCGGTCAGTCGTGTTCGCTCGTCTGGTTCGATTCCCCAGATGGGAAATAATGTGGGAGCCCGTTTTCTGGTGTCCCCTGATAATAAAGGAAGATTTTACTCACATTGCCGATCGGGTACGTCTTTGACGTATCTCTAACTAGTTTCAACTGTCGTGCTATAACATAGTATAATCTACTCATATTGATTTAACCATATACCGCCAAGGGATGTATCGAGTTAAGTAGAGCTTTAGTGATATTGAACGACTTTGAATATTAATGTGAAGCTTATCAATATTTTTCAGAATAATGCTGATGTCACAAACAAGTATGCATAAAGGGAAAACGAGGCTATGAATGAGTGAGTGAGTGAGTGAGTTAGGTTTTACGCCGCTTTTTGCAATATTCCAGCAATATCACGGCGGGGGACACAAGAAATGGGCTTCACACATTGTGCCCAGGTTCAACTTTTACTCGACGATTTGTTTCAAATCGGGGGTCGCTAAATAACTAAGAGTGAAACTGATCTAATTCTCCAGTCCGTTTTCAGAGCGCTTTAAATGAAGCGTCGATACACTTTGTTGTTAATGTATTAAAACAATTACTGAGCGTGCCTAACCACCCGCTCCGGTTAGTCGTCTCTGACGACAAGCATGAGTAGCTTGGATCTTCACCGGTCAAGTCACATCTTACGGAATAATAAAATAGTCCCCAAAAGCGTTTTTATAAACTGTTTGTTTGTGACAAAGACATAATACACAGGGAGCTCGAGTAAGTAGATTGGATGTTCTAATTTAGATATGCCATGTGTTGGTTTACTACCGAAAGTATTGAAACCACTGTTATAGTCTATTTGCAGAGAAAACCTACCGATGAATTTCACTTTAAACAAAAATGTAAATCGAATAAAGTGAAATTAAGATTGCGAATCCTCATAATTTTACATTGCCAATTGAACATTCAAATCTCAGAATTTTATTCAACTTAGGATAAAAGTTGTTTAACAAACGATCATAGTTTCAAATCGCTTTATTCGTTTGCATCACAAGGGGGTATGCACATTAAATGAAACACCAATAACATGTAGGGTTGGTCTAAGTTAACGCTCATCACGTACCGCACGTGCATTTGTTTTACTGCGCTTGTCGCTTTAATGCTTTAACGTCAACATAGCTTAGGGCAAAACAGCTGGATTACACTATACGTGGAGGTAGAGCAAAATGTATTTGTAAAGTACAAAAACATTTCTACAAACCTTATCGCTGCGCTATTTACATGTCGCAACAACTGAGAGTAGGCTTGTCGGATTGAACTTTATCTCCTTCCATACGGTAACTGATTGTCTACACGTGATATTGGTGTGTGTTATATTAGAGCCTCGATGAGATCATGCAGTTCAGGTTACATATACCTGCAGCTACATACACGGGTTTCATTTACAAATGAGGCTCTTCCGGGTCAAACTTTAAGTAAACAGTTACAAAGAGAACCCGGAAGTGTCCCATTTGTAAAGGAAACCCGTGTATGTAGGTGTGAACAACCAGGCAACCAGACAGGACTGCTGACTCGCACCCCTCGCGCAATACTGTATTACACTCAGTTAATCTTTAAGAGAAGTTGAGAAGAGAAGTTGAGTAAGCCACGTCACGACATGTGCCTATTACTTTCACTCGAACTCTAAATATCACCCTTACCAACTCACAAATAACAGCCGGGTGAGTTCTTTACGCACCACAGTCATCTAGCTGGGCTATTGCTGCGTTAAACAACACACCAACAACACACCAACAACACTCCATGCGTGTTGGCAACCTCTCAAGATTATTCTGATTTCTGTTCCCATAGAGCGTTGCCTTGGTGATATGCGGAACCATTCTACTGTGTGTGACACTCTGCTGATTGTCTGAGCTGGTGTGCTATTCCACTTGTCCAAACCATGGCAGAACCACGGACCGCGAAAACGATGCACACACACACAAATTTTCTGGCTATTTCATAACGTATGATCTAGCGATTGAAGCGGGCTTAAAATAATAAAAGTAACTCCCTTTAGCGAACGTGATTACAGTGCACCACAAACAAAGTGTGTGAAGAAGAATATTTATTTATTTATTTATTTATTTATTTATTTATTTATTTATTTATTTATTTATTTATTTATTTATTTATTTATTTATTTATTTATTTATTTATTTATTTATTTATTTATTTATTTATTTATTTATTTATTTATTTATCATGTCCTGTACAACGCATATACATATTAATCAAATCATGCATACCTCATGTAATATCTCTACAGAAATAAACATACAAAAAAACAACAACAACAAAAAACAACATAATCTGTACACTTCGAGTCGTTCGAACAGATTCCCATGCTCTAAGGGGTATATGTTTTCCCTTTAACAGATAAAGCAATGCTGATTATGTATATAACAACTTGACTTTGATGTTTCTCGTCGTTTAGAGCGAGCTTGTCAGTCTGTTGGCTATGTCATGATGGACATTCTGAAGTCGGGGGATGGTTTCAGTCATGAGGTCTGTTGGCTATGTCATGATGGACATTCTGAAGTCGGGGGATGGTTTCAGTCATGAGGTCTGTTGGCTATGTCATGATGGACATTCTGAAGTCGGGGGATGGTTTCAGTCATGAGGTCTGTTGGCTATGTCATGATGGACATTCTGAAGTCGGGGGATGGTTTCAGTCATGAGGTCTGTTGGCTATGTCATGATGGACATTCTGAAGTCGGGGGATGGTTTCAGTCATGAGGTCTGTTGGGCCATGAGAAGACTCAACAACCATGGTGAGTACCCGAATACCTGGGTCCATATCACCGCAATCATACCCTCAGGATGGGCTTTATCACCTAAGATGTGTATGTCCGAATACCTGGGTCCATCTCATAGCATCCATATTCGACGGAACTGGATCTGGTTATCAGTCATGGGGATGGATTTCTTGCGTTCCATCAATCCCAACGGCGCTATATATACCACCAGCGTTTTTGGTCCATATATGCCTATAGCTTTGTTCACGAAGTGGCTTACATTAGTGTATCACTCACTCATGTTTCTTCGTAAGACCTTTGTTAGTTTGTTGTTTAACACCGCACTCAGCAATACTCCAGCTATATGGAGGCGTTCAAAAATCGAGTCTGGACCAGACAATCAAGCGATCAACACCATGATCTACGCAGTTGGGTACGATGACATGTGTCAACCAAGTCAGCGAGCCTGACCCCGATCCCGTTAGTTGGCTCTTACGACAAGCATGGGTTGCTGAAGACCAATTCTACCCGGCTCTTTACGGGTACTCGTCTTTTACACCAAGTTGAGGTTACTTGAAGTCGGTGTAAACCCGGTGTAGGCTTGAACTAAACTAAATGTGTAGACGATGTGAGTAGAAAGTAAATATCAACAAATCAGATTGAACAGATCTTTATATCTGACGAGTGTACATGATGTATGTTAAGAAGATGTACTGTTGGTGAAGTTGCTGACGGGGACAACGTTCTCTCACTTCCTGACATCACCTGTAAAACAATAATTGATTATAAACCAACATGTTTCTGTATGTCAAGTATGTGAAGCATATGTCCTATGGAACACAATGCCTGTACACTTTCAACATATGAAATGGAACGACACATTTCACTGTGATTCTTAATGTCATCTTTTCCATTGACCTCCATGCCTGTGTTTGTTTGCATAGAGCATGCACGTAGGTGATTCAAGCTTGTCACCTCTCGAATACCTCTGAGAGAGTGAGTGAGTGAGTATAGTTTTACGCCGCTTTTAGCAATATTCCTGCAATATCACGGAGGGGGACACCAGAAACGGGCTTCACACATTGTACCCATTTGGGGAATCGAACCCGGGTCTTCGGTGTGACGAGCGAACGCTTTAACTACTAGGCTACCCCACCGCCCCCGAATTCCTCTGAAGTTATAGTATGACCAGAAATTATTGAGAATTTTAGGAATATGTTTAATTGGATTTCTAGTATAAACAACCTTGACCAGCTATCAAGTGCTTGGTTTCATTCAAGAGAGACAACTCCGTTAATCCTTTTTCATTAGTTTGTGAAGAGTTATCCCCCTTTGTTTACTTGCTAGCAGACGACATTTTCAGTGATCCTCAGTATGGATGAACTTGATTTTAGAGTATTATAACAAGGACAACAGATCAGCTAAAGTGAATTCAAGTAGAACAGACATCTCTTTGTCCACTGTTTATCGTGTTTTGAAAAATATTGCAAATGGATATGGCATTGAGCACCAGGGAGGCGCAGGTAGGCCCAGAAAATTGACTGTCGGTGACAGGAGGCGGCTTGGTATTCTTGTTTCTAAAACAAACGAAGGAGTTTAGAAAACGTAAGGCTGGATATGATTGATAGAGGAACTATGGCTGTCTGTAAGGAGACAATTAGAACTGAGCTGCATGCAATGGGTTGGCAGAAAAGTCGAAGAATTCCATCACCGATCATGAAACCTGAACAAAAGGAGCGAAGGTTGAACTGGTGCTTACAGCATAGAAATGTTAACTGGGACAATGTGATTTTCTCAGATGAAAGTTCTGTGTGGCTGTTTCCTAATACACTGAAATTCTGGACCAAAAAAAATGAAAAACCTTTGTATCAGCGCCCAAAGTACAGTCCGAAATTTAACGTATGGGGTGGCATATCTGTGTTTGGATTTTCCAGCAGGACAACGATCCAAAACATCGTACAAAGCATTCACAGTCTTGGTTTCGGACCCAAAATATGACATTATTAGATTGGCCAAGCTATAGCCTTGACCTAAATCCAATAGAAAATGTTTGGGGACGTATAAAGGAAAGTGTCAATAAGAAAAATCTGACAAATATTGCTGAAATGAAAGAAGAGGTGGTCCGATATTGATCAGTTTTATGTCCCGCCGCATTGAAGCTTGCATTGCTGCCCATGGTGACTTGACAAAATACTAACTGTTCACCTGTCTTTGAATCTGGAGTTATGTTCTGCTAATATTCTCATTTAATACGTGAGTAATGAGTGAAAAAAATATAAACAATAACAATCTTAAATTCTTAATAATTTCTGGTTGTACTGTATAGTGGATGAGGGGGTGAGTGTATGTGTGGGTGTATGGATGAAGGTGGGTTGATGGCTAGGCGAATGTTGAATGTGGCGTGGTCGATCTTGGCAACGTATCAGTAATAACATAGTAGGGACACCATGGTTCTCACGTAGGGAATCGAACCTGGCCTTAAGGGTGTCCAGCGAACACTCTACGCACGCTCCTACCCTGCCGCCCCTGCAGAACAGTAAGGAGTTACCAAGAGTTTTGTACATGAGCTGACCTTCCTCGTGAAACCAAAGAAAGCGCATGAGGGAGAATACTGCACGATCTGGTCCCCAGGCTACGTCTAGACATTGTAGTTAGTTTAATACATGATACATTGTGTGTGATTAAGGTAACAATTAACTGTAAGGCTGAAACACGCCAGTAAACGGCAAAGGGCTTAGTTGGTGCTAAATGTCAGTGTTTGCAGGCAATGGTAATTGGCCCGAGGCTTATTAGTAAGATTTTGCCCTTTCTTGTCAGTCCCTGGAACAGATGCGTATTTGAATGATTGGAGCACATAAATATTCACTAGAACATTCTGATATTCACGCACAGGTGAAAGGCAATGATAGACATGTAAATATAGAAAGAACTGATACACTTATATGGACTTGGCGGTTTAAACGTTAATGGGGAAAAATGTGACATACGTGTTAATGGGGAACAAAGTGATAGACACGTAAATGGGGAACAAAGTGACATACACGAAAATGGGGAACGAAGTGATATACACGTAAATGAACAACAAAGAGATATACCCGTAAATGAGGAACAAAGGGATATACCCGTAAATGAAGAACAAAGAGATATACCCGTAAATGAGGAACAACGGGTTATACACGTAAATGAGGACCAAAGTGATATACACGTAAATGGAGAACAAAATGATATACACGTGAATGGGGAACAAAGTGATATACACGAAAATGGGGAACAAAGTGATATACACGTAAATGGGGAACAAAGTGATATACACGTAAATGGGGAACAAAATGATATACACGTAAATGGGGAACAAAGTTATATACACGTAAATGGGGAACAAAATGATATAAACGTGAATGGGGAACAAAGTGATATACACGTAAATGGGGAACAACATGATATACACGAAAATGGGGAACAAAGTGATATACACGAAAATCGGGAACAAAGTGATATACACATAAATGGAGAACAAAGTGATATACACGTAAATGAGGAACAAAATGATATACACGTAAATGAGGAACGAGATGATATACACGTAAATGAGGAACAAAGCGATATACACGTAAATGAGGAACAAAGTGATATGCACGTGAATGATAAACATATACACGTAAATGAGGAACAAAGTGATATACACGTAAATGAGGAACAAAATATGATATACACGTATAACGTAAATGAGGAACAAAAAACGTGATATGCGATATACACGTGAATGGAGAACAAACGTAAATGAGGATGATATACACGTAAAATGAGGAACGTGATAATGAATGGAGAACAAAGTGATATAAACGTAAATGAGGAAGAACGTTATATGCATGTTAATGGGGAATAAATTATACACGTGTTATGTGCACTGAATGCTAGACGTGAAACACTATAAACATTTAACGCAATGAATTACACAAATGTGTGAAAGCGTGAGGTATGAATATGTGAACTTACAGAATCCACAAGTCTTCTTGCACATGTTGAGGGTAAAGGGCGTGGGTTCCTGACACTCGCCCTGTTTCTGGTTCTCCTCACACAGGACCCTGTTCACATCCACACACTCCTCATTCCCACCTGGGTAATATACAACATTGATGGTCGGTGTTTCCATGTCCGGGCCGTTTCGTAATGAAATCAAGTTAAAATATTAACTTAAGGAATAAAACTAGGACTGTTTAACAGCTATTTTACTCTATCTATATAACTGATACATGGTATCTTAGTTATCTAAAACTTCAAAATCTGCATTAGTACAGACTATTACAAGCAATAACACCCACGTGTCATAATCTTGACCTCCCCGTCAAAGACCCTTTCACCACATCACTAAGACATATCCCGTTAGGCAATATGATTTTCACAATCATCGAAGACGTTCGTAGATCAAGTTATATTTTTCATAAATAGGATATTGATAATCTCACGGGGTGGTCGGGGAGCCCAGTTGTTAAAGTGTTCGCGCGTCACGCCTAAGGCCCGGGTTTGACTCCCCACATGATTTCAATATGTGAAACCCATTTCTGGTGTCCCTAGCAGTGATACTGTTGGAATATTGCTAAAAGCAGCGTAAAACTAAAAACATCACTCCCTGAGCTAAACCGTAGAAATGCAAGGATTTCAGTGGAGAAAGGTGCCTGAAACGCTATGCTTGTCTCGATGGATCAGGTGGTCAGATTGTGTGACCGGACTCAGATTATTGTCTCTATGCAAATAGAAACACATTTTGCTTGTAAGGGCGACAACGCCACAATGCCCTGTCAAGGATTCCATTTTAGCCTTTACCTATTCACACACACGCATACAGATCGTCGTCGAATACTTACAAAAGTTGCAAGTTTTTTTGCAGATGTTCTTCAAATAACGGTTCCACCTGTCTTGCTCGCAGTGGCCTTGGCGGAGATGCCTTGCGCACAGCAATGAAACCCGGTCGCTACACCCACTGTTGTGAACAGCTGAAATTTAAGAAGCAGTATGTGAGGTCGACAAGGAACCTTTGCCTTGATGAAAATCTGTCTCGAGTAACGATGTTTCACGAAATAACATGTGAAGTTATTGATTATGATAACAAGATAAACCCCATTACCTGAGCCAGAGACCAGGTGTGTGTCCAACAATGCCAGATTCACACAGAACACCGCCAAGAAAACACTGACGCTGGACATGATCGACGAGTGATATTATACACCGAACAGGTTCAAGAAACTCCTACCAAACTAACTCCTACAAAGTGTTTTTTTCACGTATTATAGTAGCTTTTGACACCGAGTTAATTACAACAAAATATGTGCTTATTGTCTACGTCATGGCATACATTGGAAAGTACCAGAACCACTAAGCTGTTTGTATTGTACACCATGTAATGTCATTCTTGCATACTATAACTACTGTACGTAGTGACGTTATATTCATAGAGGGTTTATACGGGGCAGGTGTCCTCAATATGCTTCAGTAAAAGGATATTTAATCCAAAACACCAAGGCTGTATTGTTTCAGTGTATACCTAAGCGATTTTATGTTCGCCTGTCACTGTCATTTGTTTGAAGAGTAAAAGTAAAACTTCTTCAACCCAGATTGTACGGTAAAGTCTAAGCTATTGAAACATAAGTGGATATTAAATAATGCACATATAAAATTGTATGTGGCAAACGGTTGTCACTTTTATCTGATCAAGCGATCAAATCGATCCAATTCGTACGAGAAGCAAGGGTTTCTCTCAAAATCCGAGGCGAAATGTTGTTCTTACAACTGCAGCATATCATATCAATCCATCAGGAGGAAATTAAAATATCTTCAGCTACCCTTGAGGTATCCAAACCCATAACCCACCGATCCAGGTCCCGTTCCACAAAGCGATCTTACATGTGTCGGTTATCTTTAACTCCTTACGATCATCACAATGTTACGATCACTTTGTGGAAAAATGGTCATGTCCCACTTGCACACAGCGTTCTTACGATGATCAAATAACTCACATACCTTTACTCTGTCTTACGATCACCACAATGTTAAGATCACTTTGTGAAAAGAGGACCATGTCCCACTTGCACACAGCGTTCTTACGATGATCTTAACTCACATACCTTTACTCTGTCTTACGATCACCACAATGTTAAGATCACTTTGTGAAAAGAGGACCATGTCCCACTTGCACACAGCGTTCACGATGATCTTAACTCCTATACCCTTACGTATTTATCATTAAGATGGTTGTTGTGCTAAGATTGCTTTATGCATGTGGACCCTTGTAAATAAGGGGAATAATTCTGCAGATCGAGTTGTGGCTCCTTAAACCATATGAACATCATTGCCTGAACATGTGTATGATTACTCGTGTATATATTTCAGCCCATTTATATTTCATTGACTTTACACGTGATCTGGTACGACCACATTCCCACGGTTCTCGTATAAGCTGAATGACCTTGCCTGAATGGCACAACAAAAGCGTTCTCTCATTCCGTGATATTGTTCAACAATATTCTGTCAGAAAGAATGTTACTGTGTATCCATTCAGAATCTATACGGACCTATTATGTTAATAACTTTTGAAAATGAATTTGAGACGCGGGCGTAAATCCAAGGTTGGTGTGTGCGTCATAGCTTGATATCCGCGGACAATACATCAATCTTGATGGGTTCAGTGGAATTCTGGCACCATGCAGTCATTGAAAATAAAGTTCTGTTGGACTAAGGGCAACTATTTGAGTAGCAGGGTCTGCTTGAATGTGTTGATTCGATGAAAGGGGGGGTGTTGGGGGGGGGACAATTAAGGACATGCTACAGTTGTTGAAAATGTTATACTCATTATCTGACACTGTCATTTGTAACAGTTTTTTTCCTGTATGACATGTACAAAATCAATGACACCCCCGAGTACATGTGTACAATCTTTATAACCCCCCTCTACCTCCCCAGAACAAAATGGGTGACACCCCACACCCCCTTTAAAATCACACCCCTAGCCATAAATTAAGACATAAACAATTTTTGTACTCCGACAGTAGGTTTCACCAAAACCCACTGGTACACACAGTGACAGACATGCAAGCGATAGGTGTGTCATCCTTAACGGTATATGCGCCCATAGTCATCTTGAACCACTAACAACATAATATATTTCACCTGCCTTCCGAAGCAATGCGATTTACTTTCCATTGATAGAGACTCTTCTAGGCATTTTTATTTTATTCATGTAACAAGTAGGCGAACAAGTGTTAATATTTTAAACATTAGCAGATATTTAACCATTGGTCTTCAAAGATGAAGTTATGGAACGTCTTTATTATAACCTATGAATGAAATCTCTTAAATGAAATCTGAAATGAGTATATGTATGACGCAGAACTATGGCACTGCTCCTAAACCGGTTGTCTTCTTGTGGCTGTAAAGTGCCTAATTCCCCCACGTATGGTATAACACTTGATACAGCGTTACATGACTGCATCCAAGGACTTATACCTGGGCTGTATTCCGGTTCGTTTTTTGTTTTGCCTTTGGAACATTTGCCACATCGAGTATGTGACCTATGGACGCATTCACTAGCGTACCCACAGACACATTTACTAGTTTACCCATAGATACGTTGACAAGCTTACCCATGGACAGGTTTACAAATTTACCGTTAGATACAATTCCTAGCTAACCCGTGGACACAATTAGTAGCTTACCTATTAACACACTCACTAGTTTACCCATCAGCTGATTGACCAGCTTACCCATGAACACATTGACCAGCTAACCCATAAAATATAATAATAATAATTGACACATTGGCTAGCTTACCTATATAATATTTACTAGCTACCCCATGGACACATTGACTAGCTAATTCACATAATATTTACTAGCTACCCCATGGACACATTTACTAGCTTACCTATATAATATTTACTAGCTACCCCATGGACACATTTACAAGCTTACCCAAGTAATATTTACTAGCTACCCCATGGACACATTGACTAGCTTACCAATATAATATTTACTAGCTACCCCATGGACACATTGACTATATTTTACCTATATAATACTTTTACTAGCTACCCCATAGACACACATTGACTAATATAATATTTATGGACACATTACTAGCTTACCATATTATATTTACTAGCTACCCCATGGACACATTGACTAGCTTACCTATATAATATTTACTAGCTACCCCATGGACACATTGACTAGCTTACTCATATAATATTTACTAGCTATGGACACATTGACCCATGGACACATTGACTAGCTTACCTATATAATATTTACTAGCTACCCCATGGACACATTGACTAGCTTACCCATATAATATTTACTAGCTACCCCATGGACACATTGACTAGCTTACTCATATAATATTTACTAGCTACCCCATGGACACATTGACTAGCTTACCCATATAACATTTACTAGCTTATATAATATTTACTAGCTACCCCATGGACACATTGACTAGCTTACCTATATAATATTTACTAGCTACCCCATGGACACATTGACTAGCTTACCCATATAATATTTACTAGCTACCCCATGGACACATTGACTAGCTTACCCATATAATATTTACTAGCTACCCCATGGACACATTGACTAGCTTATCAATATATATAATATTTACTAGCTACCCCATAGACACATTGACTAGCTTTGACTAGCTTACCCATACACATTATTTACTAAGCTACCCCATGGACACATTGACTAGCTTACCTATATAATATTTACTAGCTACCCCATGGACACATTGACTAGCTTACCTATATAATATTTACTAGCTACCCCATGGACACATTGACTAGCTTACCTATATAATATTTACTAGCTACCCCATGGACACATTGACTAGCTTACCTATATAATATTTACTAGCTACCCCATGGACACATTGACTAGCTTACTAGCATGGACACATGACTAGCTTACTCATATAATATTTACTAGCTACCCCATGGACACATTGACTAGCTTACCTATATAATATTTACTAGCTACCCCATGGACACATTGACTAGCATTAACAATGTTTTTCACAAGGTTGGTTTTGTCTGTCATTAAATTTACATTTCATAAGCACTACAAGTTTGTTCCAGGTCATGATTGAATTTATCTTAAAGACTCCAGAAAATATATGTTCATAACATACTAGTCATCCTTTAAAAATGGGGCGGTGGGGTAGCCTAGTGGTTAAAGTGTTCGCTCGTCATGCTTAAGAATGTGCGAAGCCCATTTCTGGTGTCCTCCGCCGTGATATTGCTGGAATATTGCTAAAAGCGGCGTAAAACCAAACTCACTCACTCACTCACTCACTTCTTTAAAAATGTGAAGTTTGCAATTGCATTTTGTGCAATTTGCAACACACACACAAAAAATAAAAAAATTGCATGTCTTTTCTTTCTTTCTTTTTGTGCATTAAGAAACAATGCAGGAAAGTTTGATAAATGACGCTAACCAACTATTTTTGATGATTGATCGATTGCAGTTAACCAATCATCGATTACGAGATTTTAACCAATTCCCAACACTATGAATTGCCACTTGAATGTAAACGTCCATTCCTCAAGTCTGTCGTGTTTATTCACCTAGTGTGTTACATGAGACAACATTTTACGCTTTGAAGTCTATTTATGATTGACAGATACTCATCATTATCAACAACAATGTGTAGATCACAATCATCATCAAAATCATCATGAACATTGACTAAATTGTCTTCTGATGAAAATTATTGTATTTGTACAGACTATGTGAGTTAAGCACTGTGAATGGGGCTTTGTACTATGTATTTGTATGTGTTCCATTTGGAGAGGTAATGATGTTGTGAATTGCAATCACCTGCAGGTACTCATTAAAAAATGTTATGTAGACATGATTTAAGAATGTAAAAACTGAAGAACTGTACATGATGCACACCAAATTTCCCTTGGGATAATATAGAAATCATATCATCTAAGGACTTGTTCATTTGGGCGACTTGAAATTGCATGATACTCACCATTTATTGACCAAGGAAGTTTTTATATACAACAGAACAACTTATTGCCTTATCCTGAATGAACATAAAATAATAGAAATTTCAAAGTCATAATATCCGTTACCAGTGGTAAAGACTCTGTCACATATCTAAAATATTATTTAAGTGAAATTGATGTTGAAACATTGATATATATGACACCATTTCATGTGGAAACTTGACCTAATTCGTTGTGAATATGTTGTCCTTCTTGAGGTTGTTAATCTTAATGTTTCACTCATATGTATTATCAAAATAACTTTCATGCAGATTATGATAAAAATGATATCTATACTATTGCTAGATTTATTAAAGTAAATTATAAAGTTGCAAGATGATATCATGTGTTGATAAGGAAAATTATAGTCTTTAATACCACAAACGAAAGCTATAATTATCATTTTATCTTATTATAACACGTATCATTGCAAAGACTATGTGACAAATCACAAAGACTCTGTCACAAATCAAAAAGTTTCTGTCGCAAAAATCACAAAGACTCCACTCTCACTGTAAGTTCCCTACCAGTGATACAAGTGTTTACATTCACTAACTCACCAAGGGTCACATTTACTAGCTCTTCCTTTGGAACATTTACAAGCATTTCCCTGGGCGCATTGTTTAACATACCCATTGGCACATCTATCGCCCTCCCTTTAACACATTAAACGGCTTTCCAATAGGCATATGTGCAAGTTCATCCTTGGACACATATACTCTCTTACCATTTGGCACATTATAAAGAAATCTGAGAGCCTGCCAAAAATGTCAGCCTATGTGCAAAGATAGATCAGTGTCTGACATGTTTCTGAATATTAGTACCGAGATTATAATCAGGTGTAAGGGCAAAATAATGATATGAATCACGTGAAAGTTGCTATACGATACATCGGACCTTGATACAAATGTGTGCACCACATGCAAATAATGGCCTAGTCCATTGTAGTCTTCCGACATGTTCGAAAGAAAACGAAGGCACATTTTGGTATGTGTCCAAATAAGTATTATTGATCAGATAATGTTACAAATTGTTCAACGTTCATTATTTATCTACTTTCACCTTGATCATTTTAATTGTTTCTAAGATTATACAAGTATTTTCTATGAGTCATCGACACCCCTCGTGTATTGTGGACTCGCCATATAAATATAATATTCTCATAATACTTTTACCCTCCTATACAAGTATCGACAGTAAGAAGTGGTACTTATCCCGACGCTTCCTACAAATTGTAAAATGATCACAAAGGGAAGTTCCTGGGCTTTTCTATACCTCGCAGTGGTCTGTGTGGGAGCCGTTCTTACCACCCAGGAACGGAAGAAATGGACAGGTACGAATATTTATTACAGTTTGTTTCCGGGATGTTTAAACTTGCCCTTGGACTAAAATGTGTTGGCATTTACATCAGCGATATTTAGGATATATGCTGGGTGTAGAGTGAATGTTTGGTGGGGGAGATATTGCTGGGACTGTTAGATGGGCCCTGTTGTAATCAAATGTTTCGAGCAGAATCATTAAGGTCTGCGACGCTCGACTTGGCTCACAGTTACTTTTCAACATAGGTCCCCAAGAGCTCTGGACATCTCTTCCAACGTCGTGCATAGGTCTTAGTGGTGTTGATAGTCTCCTTCTAGTGGCGTAGTAGTCGCCCACGGTCGAAATCAGCTTGGTCCTTTCAAAACAACGTTCTCCGAAGAGCATTTCAGATTACAAGTCAGTAATTTCAACACCTGACGTTTGTGATACCCAGTTCATGTATTAGAATGTTGTTAGGTCTCACATTCAAGATTATTAGGTTTGTGACTTGTGCTCGATCTCCCTTCACCTCTTGAACACTTATTCCTACATAACAGTGACAGGGAAAATCAACATCATTCCCTAAAGTTGTCATCGAGTCTACATGGATGACTAAGAAAAGTAACAAGTCGCTTTAAAACCTTCAGAAATATGCTGTCTGGTTGAGTATTTAATTAAAACACAGCCTATAAGCATTGAAAGTAGTGTACTCCAAATTGTTCTGGGTGTACTGTACATCCTTCGTTGTCAGACCCTACCACCCCGTTAGTTAACCTTGAGGGGAAACATACTACCCATATGTATACTACCCATATGTATACTACCCATATGTATACTACCCATATGTATACTACCCATCAAAAGTTTAGACTCACTAGTGTAAATGTAGGCACTTACTTCAGTCAACTGTCCTAAAGTAGATTTTGCTAAATATTCCATACTGTTCAAAGGAACTGTTTACACATGAACGGATGTATTGTAAAACAAATTCATAACGTTGTAAAAATTATTGTCATGAGTTCAATAAATGATGAAACTCAGTGAAAATTGACGAATTCTTAAGAAAGCTTTCCTTCAAAACGCAGCTGTTAACATGCACGGTATTTGCATGCACATGCTTTTCAGCAATTTGATGCATGATCCTCGTGCAATTCATCTGCATAAGGTTTGCAGTTGGTTCCCTCAAGTTAGTGGAGAAATCAATATTCGATGTAACCATATACATAACATATAGTGAATGCTTTAAGTGAGTCTAAACTTTTGAGGTGAGGTGAGGTGAAATTGGGTTTTACGTCGTGCTTGAGAATATTTCGCTCATATGACGACGTGCATGCGTGTGTATGTGTATGTGCAGCTGCTTGTACTAGCCCAGACTGAAGCTGGTTTTAGAGTGCTAGCCCACTGTGATACCATGCCGCAGTGAAGTATGAATACCCAACTCAGACACATTATACTGACTCCGAGCCGACCAGTTCTTGTTGTACCCATTAATGCCGAGCACCAGACAGGGACCAACAAGTACCATATTTTAACGTCTTTTGGTATGACGCGGTCGGGGATCGAACCCGCAACCTCCCGCTCTCCGGGCGGAAGCTCTAACCACTACACCACGGAGGCGGTTCTAAACTTTTGATGGGTAGTATAGATTATTCAATTATATAAGAATCAGTTACCCCTTTCTGTCTTCCTGACATTCCTTTTCGTTCCTCTTCTCCAGCTGTGATGATACACTGCAAGGACGTGGGCAGCCAGTGTGGGATGCTGGCCAGGGTGGGCTACTGCCGCCTTATTCCAGGGTACATGTCCAAGCTCTGTATGAAGTCATGCAACATGTGTAAGTGTTAAGAATACATACATCAGGATATTGCAGCATGTTGATTGAGGGTTGTTAGCATTTAAACCCTAAACCTTCATTTGCATCGATCTCTGTCCATAAATCTGATATATGCATCCACATTGCAAATACAACATTTTGACTGTGACCCTTTTCTATAAATGGTCGTACTGAGAGCTGCCTGGTTAGTACAATTTCCAAATAATCAATCGGAGGAAATACTAAATAGATATCCAACACGCCATAACAGGGTGTCGTTTGTGTTGTTGTGTTGTTCAACCAATCAGCTTGCCCCAATATCATTAATGTATTTCTGTTTCCATTAGGGGCAATCTAAAGTATGGACCTGCACATTTCGTGTACAATATCTGCTACACAAAGTAGAGATTTACATTCAACAATGGTTTGCAAGCATGTTTGAACAAGATCAGTAATTTAATGCCTTGGAATCGTAAGGTTTTATACCATTAGACTGATTATAGACAAAAGGACAAGACAAAGGGAGACGATTGTGATAGATCGACCGGCATTTTGTTTGGTACTCACTTCATGTTGTTTATCCAAAGGACTGGACGTCCCATATCGACGAAACAAAAGTTTTATTAAGTTGCTAGCTGCTTGTATGAAGAAAAGTATCCATTTTTCGCTTTGAAAATTACGACATTAAACAAATTTCATCGGGAATATTTTGCAGTGACTCTTAATTTTACATGAAGGCAACAATCATACGGAAATATTAATATTCTAGAAATAGAATTCGTTGTACGATTGCTACAATATCGTACGTAAGCATATGTGTATGAATCACCATCACAAAAGCAGGTGTTTGTGAAGAGTCAACGTCATTAGAACGCCTACGAGTGGTTAATCACATTTGACACTGCACGTCACCAAACATTACATGTAGCTAGCGGTTAACGATAAATGAAAGAATTTAAATGTAAAATGAATCGGAATGTTTCGAAAATGAATTCTTAAAATGACACATGTGAATATTTTTGCTGCCAGGCGGAAAACAGCAGACATACGGCAACTGGAAGGTCCATATGAAATATACAGGTAGGTTGGCAAGAGGTTCAGTTTCGGGTAATGTTAGCCACCTACACCGTTCGAATAAAAGGGAACAGATCCAATGGCCATTTATTGGTACTGCTGCATGGGCGTGATTTAATGTTTATCTCACTGAACTTTCTTTATCAAGGTGAACCTCAGTGGGGGAAAACATTTTATAGACTTTTGTAGTCAGTATCGTGAGTGAGTGAGTGAGTGAGTTGGGTTTAACGCCATCTTAACAATATTAACAGGTATATCACCTCATGCTCATGCTGTTGATCACTGGGTTATCCGCCCCAGACTCGCTTAGCAGGAATATTGCTGAGTGTGGCGTTAAACAACAAAGACATTCATACGCTTCAATCTGATGGAACGATCCACGCCGTCGGATGGCGCAGCTGGGATACGATGATATGGGTAATTCTAACCCGGACCTTGACTTCGTTCAGTGAAGAGTAAAGAAGGCAAGATATAGTGCAATGACAGACCTGGATGTTTCTGAAAAGCATTTATATCTGAAAAACAGTTATTTTGTTATTACAAAACTTTTGGTGGTTTCTTTTTCAGATAGTCCACAGTAATGAGAGCAGCCAAACGTTACACTGGTTCAACAAATGCATCGTTAAAAAGGCATCTCCCTACATGAAAATATTTGTTCAGCAATCCTCAAGTTTCAACATTTTCATGTGCACCCTTTCAACAGTAACGTGTATTTTTTGTTATGAAACCATCTTCTAATGCATGCTAATAAACGATGTCTGTGTCCCCAAGGAGACATCTGTTTTACATTTAGTGTTTGTAAAATGACAGGTAGATCAATCTTAACAAGGCAGTCGGGCTATTTCCCCTGTAGGTCTGTTTTGATGCAATTTCACAAAAAGTAAACATTTTTCCAAATAATTCTGCATCACACCCATGACACCTGCAAGGAAGGCTTAAAAATATCGCATCAGAACTGACATGTTTACCTGGAATTCCTGAAACGCGTGAAGGGCGCTTGTCAGAACAAAATGCAGTTAACATTCATTAAAAAGTCAGAACTTTGAAATCTGGCATTTTCGATGGACAGGATAGAAGCATTGTACCGTCAGACTGGAACGGCATTCCTTGCATTATTCGAATCATTTGTTTTTATCTCAAATGGTGTTAATCTGAGTTATGGATTTAGCTTCATTTTTCCCAATAAATCTCAATAGAGAAATATATTTTCACATGAAACTTCAGTATTGAACATGGAATGCTACCCTTTAAGGTATTCTAATTGGATTTGACAGGGTACAAAGTATACCTAAGATTTGGAAAAGCATGGCATAAATAATAAAAACAAGAGACGATTTATGAAAATCTGGACATGTCTTATCTACACTTAGCATTGGTACAGTTATACACGGAATGTAGAAGTGGAACACTGTACACAGCGGCATCAAATCTAACTGAATGGTCAGACAAACCATGGTCAATATTCGGATCGAGTGCCAAAGCAAACTTCTAAAAACATGAAAGCTAAAGGTGTCCCGTCACCAAACAAAACTCCAGTGCGCAAATATTTTGTCACCACTAATGAATTGCATATCTGTGGCTTTGAACAGGTTTCCAACTCTTCTCAAACTGGAAAGCATTAAGCAACGTAACAAATGCTACATTTGGGATTACACTTTCTAAGTATAGTACCGATTCTCACTCAGTCATTTAGGTTTGCTTTTACATGGGTGGTTTTACGTTTGCATTTTGCCCTCCTAGAGTTCCACCTTGTTCAGTAGTATATGAGCGAACGTGTCGTTTAATAAAACAGGGTGTTGCTATGAAGACAAATCCTAGACAAGGTTTAAAACTTTGGCCTCATAAACTCGGAAACGACAGACAGACAGCGGACATAAATCTTGCATATGTGTATTTTTTAGAACACCGAATGCATAACATGCAAACGAATTAAGAAGGAGTATGTATTTTTCAGAAACTTGAAGAATAAAATGTCAAAGCCCACGCATAAAAATAATATAAGCACAAATACAACGTTTCAATAATCTCAGGAGTGGCTTTGTTCTGTAAATACATTAATGGTGACGATGGTTAGTTTCTTTAACGAACCGCATAGCCACACTTTGAAAGCCTAACATCAAACTAAATGACAAGTTATCAATCAATAAAATATCATTCATCTGTCCTGTAATTTGTGATCTCCGAGACTGTTATGTTCAATATGAAACACACTGTACACACATTAATCGTGAAATACTTTAACAAAATGCACAGTCACACAGTGAAAACCGACATGAAACTAAATGACAGGGTGTCAATCAAAAATATTCATTCAACTGTCATTTAATTTTGTGTAATCTCTATTCGATAGAGGGCTCAGGCGTTAACATATCCAGCCTCGATGGAATACAGCTTACCTGGTGACAATACATCATTACGTCTGTCATCATAAATAAACCTTTATTAGCAATGAACACAGACATACCCATACACGAAATACACGTGACTCAGGACGTTAATGCTTGTAGTCATGTTTTAGACTTCAAAGTATCAAAAGGTCGTTTGTCATCTTAAAATAGAGCAACTGTCAATCAAGTGTTTTGTCAATCTTTGGTAAGAAAGCCTACATGTTTGGGCGCCGAGACAGTTCAACACTGAAGAGTGACTCCTCTTCCGTCAGAGAAGTTCATCTCAGGATTCACTGCGGCAATACTCAGAATCTGGAACTTGAGTCATGAGTTGTTTGAGTTAATTGAGTGTTGAGTGCTGTAGAAATGAATCATCCTCTGCTGCTGGTGATACCATGCCTGTTGTCAACATGTCGGGGCTTAAACTTTGGCGCTCACTATCTGACCAACTACGGAACACCAGCCGAGTTCCTGGTATGTATACCATCGTATAGACTCACAGCGTCTGTGACGACAAATGCTTAGGCTTATCGTATAAATGTTGCGTCGAATCTCCGGATTTGATTGTACAGAATGTATAAGGCATTCTTGTAGCCCTTTGTGGCCCAAATTTTAAATATATGAAATTGCCAGAATATATAGATACCGTTACTTCAGCTACAAACTATTTCACATATATAGATGTGACACTATTTTCCATACTTTCATATTCTGTACTGATATCAAACGTAAATTTATAGACTTAACTACGTAAGCGGTTTTCAGAAGGTGTTTTTCAAATTATTGAGCTTAAGCAAATCTTTCACTAAAGGCGATTTTCTGTAGAAGCAAATTCAGTTCCAACATGTGATAAGAAAAGTCTTAGGTCACCAAACTCCTCATAGTTACATTTCCTAGTTGGTAAAACCGATCGATCCAGTAAGTCATGTTGCCATTCACCTGCTGAATTTGAGTTTGTTCAAAACCCAAAACGGTCAAGTGAAAGAAATGAAAAACACAAGCTGCCAGAGAATTTGAACAACTGTTTCCAATGTTTTAAGTTCAAGTGTGGATGCTGTTTGTGAGCAACAGAGGCTACTCGAAGGACATAAACTTCTGACTAACACAACAAAACTGGTGTGTCCGGTTTCTTTTAAAGAATATTTTATCAGTAATTATGTACAGATATATCTGTAATATTTTGTTGCATTTGCAATCAGATGAAGTACAAGCATGGTACAAGCAAGTTTGGTATTAGTTATACGAATATCTGCTATTGTGATATCTCCGTGATAACATGTTTTATCCAATCACCTTCTTCATTCAAATGTGCAGTATCAATTCCTGCTCTATAATCATTTTTAGTCATTGTTTTATAGTCATTATTTTAGTGAGTGATTCTTATATTTTTGTGGGGGAAACTTTATATTGTTTGGAACTGAACGAGGTCTTTCGAGATGACACCTTTGTTGACAGAGCTATTTTACTTGCATTTACAAAAATAATTGACACATTAAAATGATGATTATATATAAGTTAGACATTGTTAATGAACTTAGTAGATTAACACATTCCATGTCTTATATATCCATGGCAAAATCTGGTATCAATAAACGAGATTTTCTTTTTCCTTCAACAATTTATATGTCGGTTAATGCTCTGTGATAATTTCACCATTGCATCAATAATTAATTCTTATATTCAAGCTATATTTATTGAAATCGAATCAGAGCTTTTCGATTTTGTTTTTCTGGCACAGATATATTTAGTACATTTACAAAAATAATCGGCATATTAACAATGATTACCATTAAAAAGTTGGGTATAGTTAATACGATATGTATGTTATTATAATTATCCCCAAAACACTCCATGTCGAGGATTCTGATGCTGAGAATTGGCATATGATATCCGTTTGAGGCGTGACTACATTCCGTCATAGAATCACCCAAAACGTTATTTGAGAACAGTGGGACAATCAGATTGGTGACGTAGTCTTGTTGACATACTTTCCGGCATAGTTGATATATTTGTTTTTATTCCTCTCAGATTGCAAGTAAATTGTTACTAAATTTCAATTTAAGCTATGTCTTTGTTTTAATCAGAATAGAATATTAACCATTTTAATTTTGTTTTTAAGCCATTTGCAATAACATATACTATTTTCGTACATATACTGATGAGCAAAACTCAAGGAATTTAGAAATGGTACTGGAGACTGTGTGACATTAACCTAAACACTTTAATAAAGTGAAATTGATAGAACTGAACTATGTTTTAGATTTATGGCGATTTTAATGGATTTCAATCCTGAAAAATTATATTTTATTTTGATGTTTAAATTCATGCTGAAAGGTGGTTGTTTCTCGCAATCTTACAGTAACCTAGCAACACAATCTACCTCAGTATATTTTGTTTAGTTCAACATTCAACCATACATCATCCAAACATTCACAGGATGTCACGACTAGCAATGCGTGCCTTCATGCGTTCCTCTATTTGTTTCCATGAGTATATTATATTTTCAATAGGGTGGTGCTCTATTAATGCTCATATGTATCTGTCTTGTTATTTCTTCGGATCAAAACGTTGTGATGGTTCATATGTCATTCCCATGATTTATGCATATAAATTCTAACAGCCTGTTTCATTAAGGCAGAGCAGTGACAACACGTCGGGTCCTCAGGAAGTCGTTTGGCGCTGCTGTGTTAAAATGACGATTTATTGCTCGATAGTTTGAGGAAGTACTGGCGTATTTGTTATATGTATCTATCCCGACAAACTTCTGTCTCCTGGTTTTCTATAACATATTCACAAATATCACAACTCGCAAATCATCTTTCTGGATTTAAAGAGTTTAGTCAAGAGGTCTGACGTTGACTCATATTCACACATACAAAGTTTAATGTCAGAACAAATATTTTCTGGCGTCTGTGGGTGTCAGTGGGACGACATTGACGTCATTTGAATCACGTGGTTGTATTAGAAAGAACATTCTCAGACTTTTACAAAAACACAGACAAAGCTTTCACAGAAGATGGTGTAGTTTGTCATAAACATATGACCTGTGACGTAAGATGTGTTTGTAAAATATTTTTGGTTTTAAGTTACAAGTAACTGTAAACGAGAATGCAAAGGTCCAACGAAATATACCAAATCTATTACACATAAAACATGCGTATAAAAAGACACTCTCGCGCGCACATACACATGTTCATGCACACATTACCTGAGCGTACCACAGACACAGGTGTGTATTTACAAAGATTCGTCAGGATATAGTATGCATATTCCAACGAGTTTAGAAAACGGTAGCCTTTGTGCCCCATATTTTTATAAAAGCAAAAACGAAATAAAATATGGATATGGTTCGTTTAAACCAGGCTACTGTGTTTGGCTGCTTACTG